CCAGGGCACCAGCTGGCCTGCACTAATCATTAAGATAGATAGATAGATAGATAGATAGATGGATGATAGATTGATGATAGATATCTGTCTATCTATTTGTTGTGATCATCAAGTCACTGAATTTGAGACTTGAACTGCAGTCAGCCATGTGGGAATCCAGTGCCTTAATCACTTGCTTGCCCTAGTGATCATTTTCAGTGGCTAAAAAATACTCTCTTTGGGGGTTACACTAGCTAATTTACTTAACTTAGATGTTTAGGTTATTTCCAGTCATTCTTTATTATAAATAACACTGTCATAAATTTCCTTCATGTTTTTCCATATGTAGATCCCCAGAAGTAGAAGAATGAAGTCAAAGGAAAAAAATTTTTATGCTTTAGTCTATATTGGGAAATAGTTTTCCCAGAAAGTCTGTGGTCCTTTATAATGTACTGTATGATGGAACTTTTTACTTTTCACTGCTTTCTCACCAGCTATAGACAACATTGTGCTTTTATTTATTTTTATATATTTAATAAGCCATAAACAGTCTCATTTTAATTTCTTTTTCTTTGACAATCATAGAGGCTTAATACTGCCAATCACGATTACTATAATGTGACCCTGAATCAGCCAGGGTCTATATCAGTTGCTTTGACAGAGAAAACACAATATAAAGAATTGCTAATGATATATTAAAGAGCTGAAAAGAAACAGTAAAGATCTGCACCTACGCCTGAGTTGGAGGGAACAAAAGAAAGGAGGTGCCAGCTGGCTGATGCTGTCTCTGAGGAGCGTGCTGCGAGGCTGGTTCTCTAAGTGATAGACAACTGCAAACTGGGTTTCACTGCTACACACTGGGGCTGTAGCCTGTGGGGCTGCCAGATTTAGCAAAAACTAAATGCAAGATGCCCAGTTAAATTTCCATGTTAAATAATGAACACTTTTCCAATATTTATGGTGATATTGGAATATAGTATATTTGTACTAAAAAAAAGTGTTGCTTATTTAAAATGCAGATTTTACTAAGTGTCCTATATTTTACTGGCAAGACTTCAAGACTAGGGTAATACTGGAAAAAAGGTTTTCTACTTCTCCCCACAAATAAAGCCTTTCAGTATCCTTCTAGCGCCCCCTATTGGCAAAGACCAGCATACAATCAGTTGGCAAAGCTAATAAGAGGTTTGCAGACAAGAGGATGTTATTAAGGTGGATTTGGGGCCAGTATGTGGCATAGTGATTAAGGCACTGGACTCCCACATAGCTGACCATAGTTCGAGTCCCAGATCTGGTGACTTGAAACTTATGCCAGGCAACGTGCGCATGTGTGCCCAAATCCCCAGAGGAGAGTAGAGTAGAAGGGAGGGGAATGAGAAGGGACTGTGATGTTGCTACCCCCCAAGGTGATTTCTCACCACTTTATTTCTCTCTGGCAAGCACATACACCCTATAGCAAAAAAAAAAAAAAAAAAAAAAGTGGATTTGAAGCTGAGAAATAATTACCCAATAATTGTCCCAGGCCACCCTTTTAGGTATTCAGTATCTATATACACTGCCCAACACATTTGAACCTCCAGACAACAACAACAACAAAAACCAATTCTCACTCCAGTTTCTGTTTGGCAACCCAATTTCTAGGACCCCTTCTTCTTGGGAGCTCCGTTTTTCCTTCCCTTTCCTACAATAAACTCTCTGCCTTGCTATACCTTAAAAACAACAACAACAACAAAACGAAAAAACAAAAAACTAACAAACTGCAACTATCTTTCCTACAAATTAAGACATTCTTGTCTTCTCCCTCAAATGGGAAGCAACAAAGTTGCAATAGTTGTTTTAATTATCTCTAGAAAATGGTCCTATTATTTATCTTTAAGGATGATTATTGCTCTTAGCATCAGTCACAATCACCCTTGGAAATTCTGTTACTTTAATACTTAAGTGTAGCACTGACCTCCAAAAAAGTTTATATAAAATAAGAAGGAATTAGCTAACGTATACCATTATATGAAGTCACATATAATCAAGGAAGAATATATGCTTGCCTGCTACATGTCTGAAACCAGTCCCAAGGTCACAGTTGATCTTTATTTCCCCCCTTGAAAACTGCTATTTATTGTTTATTAAATTTGCCAGAGGGCACTAGCATTCTCCAAAGAAAGAGAGATACAGAGAGAGGAAAAATAAGAAAGTATCCCGCATGGGGAATGGTCACACCACAGTTCCTTCCCCTCCATCTCTCTTTTTGGGATTTTGGGCATGCATGCCTGTCATGTTTTTCTTTCTTTTTTGTTGCTTTTTAAAACTTTTTTTTTAAATATTTGATTGCTATATTTCATTTGGCTTATAAAGAGAATTTACCCAACATGAAATACCCTTCAGATGAGTCCAGTTGAGAATACTATACATGTTATCACCAACAGGCAATAAATCATTACAGGCCAAAGTTGATCTTTAACAGCTTCCTCAACCTCCCACCCCATGTTTTCTGATCCTGGGACAGGACCTCTGTGGCCAGGGTTCTTTACCCAGTAGAGTGACCCAAATCATTGTTTGGGGAGAATCTGATTCCTCAGGAGATTTGACTCCCCTTAGGTATAATAGTATTCATTAATATTTACTATTAACCATGAAAGTACTAAGACAACCCCAGAGGATCCTGGGGCTGCAGGAATAGTCTCTCTTGCCCCCGATTTCCCCTTGGTTGTCAGAATGAATCATCATAGCCAGAAAAGTAACCCTCTTTTTTTGCTTACTGTTTTTGTGGTCAGGTAGCAGTCTCAAATCCCAGTTCAATAGAACCACAATGTAAATTCTGAAGAAGTACTCCTTTACTGGGAACTACTCCAATCTAGTAGCACAAAGCTAAAGAGATAAAAAGCACGAAATTAGGTGAACTGGTAAGAGGACCCATTCCCACTTTTATCCCTTGATTTCCAGGCCCACTGTCGTCTGGCTATGGGAGAAATCATGCAACATACTGTTTGTTAATCAAGTCATACATTGTATCTTGTAAGACAGAATTCATCAGCTCCTAAGACTGCTGCCTCAGTTCAACTCCAATAAGTCTTCAGTTGGCCACTTTTCAGATACATTAGGCCAACTGCTCCTGAGTGCCTAAGTACACGTTAAGACTAGTAGATTACTTGATCATGAGCCTATTGCTGCACTTCTTTTAATGTGAGATGGAACAGGCATTCCAAATATCCACAGATGATGGTGCTGGCAAGAGCATAACAGACAGGGAGAGAAATCCCTATCCAGAATGTGTCCATTCCTATGAGGATAGATCTCTTTCCTATTGGTGACAGAACTTACTGTACTCTTCCTGTCATCAGATGGATGGTTCCCCCCATTTCAGGAGCTCAGTATGGTTCTCTGCCATTGATAGGTTACTCATTCAGCAGCAGCAGTTAACAGATGAGCCTTGATGAAAGGAGGACAATAAATATCCTCTATCTTTGCCACTATGGCTACTTTGCAAGTAAGTCCAGTGCGCAAACCCTGGGTGGCTGGGGAAAGAAGCTATCTGACATACATAGGTCATGCCATTTTATCCACCTGACTATTAAGAACCTGTTTTTATTGTGTCTTTTGGTGAGCTTTCATATAGGGCACATGTATCTTCATATTCCATATCTATTCCAAGAGGTCCATCCACACCCATTCCCAAGATCTCCTCATACCAATCTTGCTATTTTGTTCTTTTTTAGTCCCTAACAATCCATCTAAACCATTACCAACTGCCCATAAATCAATGTAGATCTGGCCATCTCTTGGCCCAAAATGAACCATCAAATACATCCTGTGAGGTCATATTCTTCACCATTACCCTCTAAGGCTACCTTTTATTGAGGTTGTGAATATGCAATCTGACACTGGTGAATTTATTGGGGTTGTGAATATGCAACCTGGTTGGTGCCAGTGTATCATCCAGAACAACCTGTAAGCCAACCCCAAGTTTGCTTCTCCTTGGTCAGCTGGTCTTAATTCCCAATGAGGCCTTAGATGTGATTTAAGGTAAAGAAAGTCATGCAATGGTGGCCTGAATGAGAACAAGCCTACTCATGCAACTTACTTGTCCCCCTGGACATACTCAAGGCATGTAATGATAGTATACTATCAGACACACCCAACCTTATGACTTGGTGGATAAGACGCACAGCTCAGCTCACATAGTAACTCAGTATCTCACAATTAGCCTGTATTTTCCTTTTTTAAAATGTTTTTTATCCTCTCTTCCATTAAACATACCAGTCTATGAGATTCATACTGCTTTTTTCTTCTGTTATATTTATCCTTGTCACATCACTTATGAATAATGGCAGAAGTAGTAGCACCTGCTATCTGATCCTTTCTTCCAGGCTCAAATAACAACCCAGGAGCTATTCCTTAAAAGAGGGCATGTCAGGGCCAATAGGTGGCATTGTGGTTAAGGCACTGGACTCTCACATGACCAACTGCAGTTCGAGTCCCATATATGGCAACTTTCTCTCTCTCTCTCTCTCTCTCTCTCTCTCTCTCTCTCTGTCCTATAGCAAATTAAAATAATAATTTAATTTTATAATATTTCTTTTTTTTTTTTTTAAAGAGAGATTTTGGTGTCTGTGCTCACCGGAGGGACAGAGAGAAAGCGGGAAATCACTCCTCCCCTCTAGAGAGGAATGGTCACACAGCAATCCCTTCTCCTCCATTCCCTTCTCAGGATTTTGGGCACACATGCATACATGCTGGCATGAGTTTTAAGCCACTGGGTCTGGGACTCGAACTGTGGTCATCTATGTGGGAGTCCAGTGACATAACCATTACACCATTTGCTGGTCCCAATTTTAAAATATTTCTTTAAAAAAAATAATAAAGCACATGACTTTGTTCCAAAACCTGCTTGCCTACAGGCTTGACTTCTATGAGGGCTAAGGAAAGTTACTAGTTCTCCTACAGGTTCTGGTTTGGGGAGCTTTGCCAAAGGTCTCTTAGGTATTGGGAACCCGTGGTTGGAGTTTGATCTCAGTCCACTGTTGCAGGCACAGCCTCGGTTGCTGTGGCAGGGATCCTGGCTGCTCTGCGAATCACCAAGAACAAGCTCTCCAATCATGTGTTTGTTTTCCAAGGTGCAGGTGAGGTAGGTGTCATCAGGGGTTCTCTACTATGGTTCCAGTAGGAGAATAAGGGTGGGTGCAAAAGTATCAAGAAGGGGAGGTGTTCTGGGGTTCTAAGAAGCAACAGCAGCACAGGTGAATTATGATCATAGACTGGGCCTCTTGGGAACTATAGAGGCAGAAGAAAGAAGAGGGGCTCGATTTGGTGAAGCAGCTGATAAATGCTGAGCATCTGTTTGCCCTATATCTGAACACCCACTTTTTAATGTTATCCCCTAGGCAGCCATGGGCATAGCCCACCTCCTTGTCATGGCCCTAGAGAAAGAAGGCATACCCAAGGCAGAGGCCATAAGGAAGATCTGGATGGTGGATTCCAAGGGGCTCATTGTCAAGGTACTGTCAGTCTAAAGATCTAGAAGTTTTCTGACACCTCCAGTTCCCAGGAACTGGATGGGAAGAGGGGTCAAACTGCTCAGACAGAATAGAGAACAAAAGGAAGGTACTGGCCTAAGCTCCAAAGCAAAAGATTCATCCCAAAGTAGCATTAATTTCTCTTGTCCAAAGTGTGTAAGTATGTGTATGTGTGCCCCTTCCAGCCTTACCTCTCATGGCTTCCTGCCTTGCACAAACCTCTGGGCCACACTGAATTATAATTCCCTAAATGTATCATGCTTTCTCTTCCACATCTTTGTACATTTTGTTCTTTTTCCTGAAAAGCTCTTCTCCCTTTTTCCACATGGCCACTCTCAACCCTTAACCCCTTTCCAGTTTCTTCTTTATCTTCTGATTAAGCTCAAATGTTACCTCCTTCAAGATTTCTCTGAGCATCTAGGTCTCAATTAATTTCCTATGTCCATATTCACATAGGCCTTCTTCCTTCATACATTGCACTTACCATGCTGTAAGACAATTGTCCCTCTACTTGTCTTTCTTCCCACTAGGCTATATACTCCTGATATCAATGCCCAGCACATAGCAAGCACAAAAATAATGTTTGAGGTTGGTACCAGATGGTGTAATGGTTACATCGCTGGACTCCCATGCAGTCAACCATGGTTTGAGTCTCGGACCCATTGCCTTGAAACTCAAGCCATGCCTAAAATTCCACGAGAAGAATGAAGGACAAGGGCTACCTCCCCACCCCACCCCCCACACACACCTAGAAGGGGGATTTCTCACTTTCTGTCTCTCTGTTTCTCTGTCTCCCTGGCAAGCACACATGCCCTGTAGCGAAAATCTCTCTCAAAAACTAGCTAAATAATAATAAAATATTGTTTGCAGTATGATTGAAAGAAAGAATGAGAAAAAAATGCCCAGCTTCTTACTACAATATAGCGATGGAAACAACTGGATGACCCCTTTTTTGGACTTCATTCAGTGCTCTATATACTTCAATTGCTAGAATTCCACTAAGATAAAATATCAATGAAAGACAAAAAAATTATATCAGAGATGGGGATGAGGAAGTACACGGGGCCATCAATCAAGAACAGCAGAGACCCTCAGGAGAAACTGACCTTCCTATTGCTCCACATGCAGCTGGATTACTGCTGGAAAGAAGTTTGGTCTGGAAATTCTTCCTGCCACCACATCATTCCAGAGTATAACCTGGCCACAGACATAGGCTTCTAGAGACTAACACTCTTCCTTCCTACCCATCTTTCAACATTATTTTGCTCACTCCCTCGGGTCATCCCTTCCCACAGGGAGTTCTCAAAGCTGAAATCTTCTCTCTGGTTCCCATCAGTCCAGCTGACCCAAAGGAATTGTCAGAAGTATTTGTAGCCATTTACTAGGATTCATGTCAGCCTGTCACCCACTGATATGTATTTGAAGACATGGAAGGAATCTGTGCTGGTTGGGCATACACAGCCATTGCAATTCTGTCCTGGAGCTCACCTCAGTATTATCCACAGGGAGGTTAATGACTCCTGTAAATACATTCAGATCAGTTCCTTGACCCTGAGTGGCTCAGACCCCCATCCCTCAACTGGGCCTGGGTGCTAGATATTTTGGGGCCAAGGATCTTGGTTAGCCTCAGACTTTCCTGAGAGTCTTTCCATCCTGATCCAGAAAGCCAAAATCTCACCAGCTCAGAGAAATTCCTAATGAATCCTCCATATATGGTTTGAGTTAAATAAATACATACACATGCTCACATGCACACATTAAAAATACTTAATTCTTAGATTTTACCAGAGAATCTGATCCAGGAAATAGACCCCAAGGCTTCTGATAGCTTCAACAAAAGTATGGTATCCAGCAGGGTATTCTCTCAGAGTTTCCAAACATATCCACACCCCAACTCAGCAGGCCACCACCACTATACCTGCTTCATGTGTCTTCTTTTTCTATAGGGGAGGAGTCACCTGAATCATGAAAAGGAGATGTTTGCCCAAGACCATCCTGAAGTGAATTCCCTGGAGGAGGTGGTGAGGCTGGTGAAGCCCACAGCCATAATAGGTAGGAGGGAAAGGCCACCCACTGGCCAGCTCAGCTAACCCTCTTGACTTGCAGATGGAGAGATTGAGGCCCAGCATAAGTAACCCATGAAAACAGAGCTCTGTCTCTTCTCCCATGTCCAATTTAATGACAAACTTCTACTGAGTTACTGTATAAAAACCACAGATCCAAAGCAGCAGAGCTGGGACTTATTATATAGTGCAGTGGAAAAGCATAGGGTCAGATGAGCCTCTTCTCCTAAGGGGGGGGTCCTGACATTTCTTCCTGAGCTGGAGAAGGAGCAATGCATTCTCAATGCCAATGCCAAGGAATGCCTCCTCGGGTGCATCTTAACAGGCAGGGACCTTAACTGGGCCAGTAGTCCCTTAGAGATGAATAGATCTCAGGTAGCTCCAGCAGGAAACCCCCTTTCCCTCAGTTTCTATTGCAGACACTCATCTCCAATACTCCTGATTCTTTCATGATATACCTGAGTCCCACACCACCACCAGAAAAGGAATGGGTCATTTATGAAGAGTAGGCATCCCCACTACCCCACCTTTTCCCTGTAGGTGTTGCTGCCATCGCAGGAGCCTTCACGGAGCAGATTCTGAGGGACATGGCCTCCTTCCACGAGCGCCCTATCATCTTTGCCCTGAGCAACCCCACCAGCAAGGCCGAGTGCACGGCTGAGAAGTGCTACCGGGTCACTGAGGTCAGCGGGGAGTCCTTCCTTCCCCCAGCTGAGAGGACATAGTAACAATACCTATGAGTAACCCTATGAGGGTGAAAATCCCCACATAGCTGATAAGCAAACAGACTCAGACTGATGAAGTAAATTGCCCAAGGTTGAGCTAATAAGAAATGGAGCTGGCCCTCAAACCCAGGTCTGACTCCAAAGCCTCCCAAGATGTTACCATTATGTATCCTGCTAAAGAGTCCCTCTAAATGACATAAAGCTTTGACCAGAACCTAGAACCCAAGGCACTTACAAACTTTAGTCATTTCCCTAATTGCCATGTCCTGGGTTCGCCCTCCTTGGAGGTTAGAGGTTTAAGGTTCTGTGAACCCCATTACCTTTCAGTGATCTCTTGATGGCTAGATAAACTCAAGTGGGGGCTAAGCCCTCTGGTCAAATGAAAAAAATGTGCTTTGTGTACCTGCTACACTCTCAGCACAATGCTGAGCATTTAGGAGAAGAGGAGTCCAATCTTTAAGAGAAAAGACTAGACCACCATTACTGCCCAAGCCCATCTCCAAGCTCTATCTCTGGTTTTCTTTCTATTTCCAGGGCCGAGGAATCTTTGCCAGTGGAAGCCCTTTTAAGAGCGTGACTCTGGAAGATGGCAAGACCTTCATTCCTGGACAGGGAAACAATGCCTATGTGTTCCCTGGGGTGGCACTGGGAGTCATTGCCGGTGGGATCCGGCACATCCCAGATGAGATCTTCCTCCTGACAGCAGAGGTATCACTATCCCTGCTCCTTCAAATGCTTCCAGCAGGGTCTGGGTCTACCCTGGGTACTATACCAGGTCTTCATGGTCCTATACCACCTTCCTCTCTCATCTCTTCTACTCATCTTGCCCCAACCCTATCAGTAAATCCCCAATGTACTTAAACTCAAGCTTCTCTCAAGATCACCTTGAGGCATGATGACCCTTCTGTCCAATCACACACAGAATTTTTGAGGGAAGAAAGGGAATAGTTAGTGGGATGCCAGCTGGAAACAGTGGCAGCAAGAGGACACATCTCATACTGCTCCCTGTCTCCCAGCAGTGCATTTAGATGATTAGACAGAGAAGATGCCACCACTTACCTGAAACTGGGTCTTGTAGGCCAGGTGAGGTGATAGATTCTTCCAACCACAAGCTTTGGCTAAATCTCTCCAATAACTGGCAACAGTTAGGGAGGGAGCAGGTTACACACCTGGCTTTGCCCACTGTGAGTATGAAGATCTTAAGCACCAGTATAGGGATATTGAGGATATATCTACTCCAGGTATATAGTACCAAGAAAGCTCCCAGAAGGGTTGTTTATAGGACATGATGAAAACAATGAAAGAATCCATTAAGAACAGCCCACATTCATAGTAATGGTTATTAGTAACAGTGACAGTGGCTGACATAATCAAATACTTACCAAGTGCTAGGTATCTGACATTTATCCTCACTCCAAAGACACTGAGGCACCAATCTGTCCGTTAGGAAGATAAGCAATCAAAACTAGATACAAATATGAAATGTATTTCTACTCATCCAGTTCCAAAGTCTCTCCTGTAACTGCTAACATCCTTCTGCAGTTTCTCCTCACCAGTGCATTGGTGAGAGCCTCAAATCAGTGAAATACGGGCATGGCTTCCACAAAGTTCTGTTGGGATCTGCTTCTAAGAGTCCCACAGGGAAATATTTCATGCACTAGGTCCCTTCCTACTACGTCTGGTCTTTGAGCACTGGCTCTGTAAGGTATGGTGAATAATTTCTACCTAAGGCTTTTCTGCCAATCCCTAGCACACTGGTTGTAACTGTGCCACAGGTCTCTGTTCCTCTTGTCTGGTATAGCTATCTTGGGTGTTCTTTCCTGTGGCTACAGACAGAGCTGTTTGAAGTCCCCATTAGATGGGAAGAGTGATTTCCAGCTTAGAATCAACCTGAAAGCAAATTCTATTGTACAGAAACCCAGTTGCTTATGTAACCTCATGAGACTTCTACATACTCGCCCCCCAGAGCTGTTCAGATCCATCATTTCATGAATGACATCAACCAATTACACCAGAAACTCTCCTCAATCTCCTTAATAAGCATGTACTGGGAGGTGCCACTTTGGGGGTGGACAGTCTAGTCTTCAAAGTCCTGGCAAGTTATATTTCTTTTAGAAATTTTAGTATAAAGCCCTTATAGTTAAGTGCTTTTAGTTGAAATAATTTAAGTGGAACCAGCAGATGGCTAAAGGTTATATCGCTGGACTCCTGTGTAGTTGACTGCAGTTCGAGTCCCGGACCCAGAGGCTTAAAACTCATGTGTGCGTGTGTGCCCAAAATCCTGAGGAGAACAGAATGCAGTGTGACCATCCTCCCCGCAGGGTGACTTCTCACTGTCTGTCTGTCTGTCTCTGGTGAGTACACACACTCTAGAGCAAAAGATTCTCTTAAAAAAAAAAAGATAATTTAAAGTGAATTTTATTTTCCTATGGAAAGTTGTAACAGGTTTTAGGAGATTTACACATTTTCCCTCATTTCACCTTAACAACTTCATAACAGAAATAATGCTTATCCATATGTTATAGACAGGGAAAAGTGAGACACATTAAGTCAAAGTAACTTGCCCAAAGGCACTGATCATTTGGGTGATAGTACTAGGCCAGTCCCAGAAAACTTGAGTGCTCGCTGCAGCAGAACCTTCCTAGTGCACAATATCTTAGAAGTGATCACACATACCATGATACAGCTCTTCACAGGATAACCTTTCCAGATGTAAATCTAGCTATGGGAATCCTGCCTCCCTCTAACCATCTTCAGTACTCCACAAAGAGGATCCTTTGAAATATAGCTCAGACCAAGTTTCTCTTCCAGTTGCAGACCTTTATATGGCTCCTTGTTGCTTACAGGGCAAAACCCAAACCCCTTCCAACACTTTCCATACCAGGCATTTCATCATAGGGGCCTCCCTCCTCTTCTCTTCAGCCTCACTTTTAGCCTCTCCCTACCACTGACCTATCCACTGTGCCATTTTCAATCTTGTATCCATGCTCTCTTGCTTTCCCTCATTTCCAAGCATTTGCATGTATTCTCTCAGTCCTTTTCCAAGTAACTCAAACTTTATCCTGCAAATGACAATTCTTTACATGGCAAAAGGGGTCCTGCCTTGCTCCATACCTTTATGTCCCCTTCTCATGGCAGTCTCCCATTATAATTGCTAAAATTCTTTGTTGTCTACTGACACCAAGCATCTTGAGGGGAAAGACTATGGCTTCTTCACCATGGATCCTTCGTACCTACCACAGAGCCTGGCACATCATGGAGCTCTGTGAAAGTTTGACTGAATGAATGGAAATGAGAGGAGTGTGAAGAGGCAAAGGAGAGGGAAGGCTTACTTCCCTAATGTCTGCCAACTCTTGATGACAGACAGACTCCTTTGCCTTTTCTCTCAGAAACAAAGTTCTCAGAGGGCCCCAGTGACTTTTCCCTGATTTAAATGTGATACCAGAAGATTGGGCATGGCTTCCACAAAGTTCTGTTGGGATCTGCTTCTAAGAGTCCCACAGGGAAATATTTCATGCACTAGGTCCCTTCCTACTACGTCTGGTCTTTGAGCACTGGCTCTGTAAGGTATGGTGAATAATTTCTACCTAAGGCTTTTCTGCCAATCCCTAGCACACTGGTTGTAACTGTGCCACAGGTCTCTGTTCCTCTTGTCTGGTATAGCTATCTTGGGTGTTCTTTCCTGTGGCTACAGACAGAGCTGTTTGAAGTCCCCATTAGATGGGAAGAGTGATTTCCAGCTTAGAATCAACCTGAAAGCAAATTCTATTGTACAGAAACCCAGTTGCTTATGTAACCTCATGAGACTTCTACATACTCGCCCCCCAGAGCTGTTCAGATCCATCATTTCATGAATGGCATCAACCAATTACACCAGAAACTCTCCTCAGTCTCCTTAATAAGCATGTACTGGGAGGTGCCACTTTGGGGGTGGACAGTCTAGTCTTCAAAGTCCTGGCAAGTTATATTTCTTTTAGAAATTTTAGTATAAAGCCCTTCTAGTTAAGTGCTTTTAGTTGAAATAATTTAAGTGGAACCAGCAGATGGCTAAAGGTTATATCGCTGGACTCCTGTGTAGTTGACTGCAGTTCGAGTCCCGGACCCAGAGGCTTAAAACTCATGTGTGCGTGTGTGCCCAAAATCCTGAGGAGAACAGAATGCAGTGTGACCATCCTCCCCGCAGGGTGACTTCTCACTGTCTGTCTGTCTGTCTCTGGTGAGTACACACACTCTAGAGCAAAAGATTCTCTTAAAAAAAAAAAGATAATTTAAAGTGAATTTTATTTTCCTATGGAAAGTTGTAACAGGTTTTAGGAGATTTACACATTTTCCCTCATTTCACCTTAACAACTTCATAACAGAAATAATGCTTATCCATATGTTATAGACAGGGAAAAGTGAGACACATTAAGTCAAAGTAACTTGCCCAAAGGCACTGATCATTTGGGTGATAGTACTAGGCCAGTCCCAGAAAACTTGAGTGCTCGCTGCAGCAGAACCTTCCTAGTGCACAATATCTTAGAAGTGATCACACATACCATGATACAGCTCTTCACAGGATAACCTTTCCAGATGTAAATCTAGCTATGGGAATCCTGCCTCCCTCTAACCATCTTCAGTACTCCACAAAGAGGATCCTTTGAAATATAGCTCAGACCAAGTTTCTCTTCCAGTTGCAGACCTTTATATGGCTCCTTGTTGCTTACAGGGCAAAACCCAAACCCCTTCCAACACTTTCCATACCAGGCATTTCATCATAGGGGCCTCCCTCCTCTTCTCTTCAGCCTCACTTTTAGCCTCTCCCTACCACTGACCTATCCACTGTGCCATTTTCAATCTTGTATCCATGCTCTCTTGCTTTCCCTCATTTCCAAGCATTTGCATGTATTCTCTCAGTCCTTTTCCAAGTAACTCAAACTTTATCCTGCAAATGACAATTCTTTACATGGCAAAAGGGGTCCTGCCTTGCTCCATACCTTTATGTCCCCTTCTCATGGCAGTCTCCCATTATAATTGCTAAAATTCTTTGTTGTCTACTGACACCAAGCATCTTGAGGGGAAAGACTATGGCTTCTTCACCATGGATCCTTCGTACCTACCACAGAGCCTGGCACATCATGGAGCTCTGTGAAAGTTTGACTGAATGAATGGAAATGAGAGGAGTGTGAAGAGGCAAAGGAGAGGGAAGGCTTACTTCCCTAATGTCTGCCAACTCTTGATGACAGACAGACTCCTTTGCCTTTTCTCTCAGAAACAAAGTTCTCAGAGAGCACCAGTGGCTTTTCCCTGATTTAAATTTGATACCAGAAGATTGGGTGGGAGCAGATTCAGAGTCACTACATCAAAGAACCTGATCTGCAAGGCTAGCTGGGCATGGCAATAGAGGCTGGAAGATGAGGCTTGACCCTCAGGGCAGGCTCTGACCCTGGGAAGGAAGCTCAGGGGGTTCTGTTTTCAGGGTGATATACTTAGGGCATTTATTCAGATAAGGCATAACTCATATTCACCCTCTGGAAGAAAGGCCTTCCTCAGACTGGAAGCAGTGCCAGATGGAAGAAATTAAGGAGCTCTGGGCACAAAGAGATCATATTGTCTACGTGGGTACTCAGGTTGTTACCAAGCATGTGAAAGGAGGCTGGGACCCACAAAGTGGGACCCAGGGATCCCTGTGCAATAGGCTGGACCAGCCAAGAGGAGACTCCCTAGTCCCTGCTCTGCAGACCATGAGTTTACTCATCTTGGGATTAGTGATTTGCCCTTAGAATTCAGAGAACTTCACAGAATAGAAATAATGTGCCCAAGCATCATGTTCCCCCTGGGGCTCTCTGACAGCAGAGTTAACAATGGAGACTGCAGTGTCTGAACACCTATGCAGGGCCAGGTGAGTCTCTGGAGTATTAGGTTGACATTGTTCTGTGAAGGCAGAAACTCAACTTACTTCTCTTGGTTCTTTCCCTCTCTCCAGCAAATTGCCCAGGAGGTCTCTGAGCAGCACCTGTCCCAGGGGAGACTGTACCCACCACTCAGCACCATTAGAGACGTGTCTCTAAGAATTGCCATCAAAGTAAGGAGCATCCTACCCCACAACATGAGTAGTGCAGCTTAACCACTTTCTCTCTCTGTGACGTTAGGAGGACTAGGAGGATGGTAGCTGTGGAGACACAATGCCTCCTTGGGCTGCAGTACATGCAACTGACAGGCTGGTGGAAAAACTTCTGCCTGTGCCTTGAGCCCCACCCCCAGTGCCCACCCACACCAGATCTGGGAAAGCTCCTGGGTTTCTCCTCAAACACCAAGCAGAAAGGTTACTGAAGTTCATGGTCTTACGGACCAGAATGTGGGTGGAATTTTTTTTAAATGAATCATAAGTGCCCATTTATAAGAAAGGTCAGCTTACATAGGATCATGGAAAGAGCTCAGACTTAGAGTTACAACTCTGACGATCAGCAGTGGCATAACCTTCGCCAGTCCATCACTTTACTCCCCCTGCCTCAGATTCCTCCTTTTCCAAAGGTGCCATTAATTCTTCTCTCCCAGAATTTGGGAAAGATTAAAATAGAATAGTGAGAAAGCTCTACACTCCTTGCCTGCTTAGAGAGAAGAGATACTCATTCTTCCCCTTTTGCTTAGAATGGCTAGACCATAAGGGTGATCAGGTACATGGAATATTCCATGATACTCTGCAGAGATGATGCTTTTCATTGAATCAGAACATGAAACAGTAAAGACTGGGCCCACATTTATCACTGCTAAAGCTGAGTAATGGGTACATAAGAGTTTATTATGCTGTTGATTCTATTAGTGTATGTGTTTTACATTTTCTATATAACCTTTTAAAAATTTTCAGAAAAAGCATTTCAAACAGTACATACTCCCTGTGAGTTATCTAGTGCAGGATCCAAAATGAGAACTTAAGACCAACAGTTCAGCTGACAGTCTAGCTCTGCCCTGTCCAGTTCCTTCCTGTTTAGGTTCTTATTTTTCTGAACTAAAACTAACACCCAGAGAGCAGTGTCTAGGCTGTTCATTATCAGATACTGGACACTTCTACCTATTATCTAATTTTATTCTCATGCCACTCCAGAGGAAGGTCTTAAGGCATGGGGG